TTAAAAAAAACGCAACTTTGATACCTTTAGAGCTTTTGGGACACCCTGTACATTACTAAAATATTTTTAAAATGTGCGCTCGGTAGGCGTCGGACAATTCATAAAATAATACTTTTTAAAAATCAAACGATTTAGCCGCAAACTTCGGTGCCGTATAGCGTGAATAACCCTGTATATAAGAAAAATATATATATTGTTCACTCAATCCACTTACCAGATTTGTATATTGAGGCGCCCAACTGCCACCTGAATAGCTGGGAGTCTTCGTGTCCAAACGCGCATTGCTGGGGGCGTAGTTGAAGTTCAAAATGCTGCTGGCACTAAAGGCGCTATCAGGAAGAGGCTGATCGCCCTGGATAAGATTGATGAACCTGCAATAGGAAAATTCAGCTGGATTTGGACTTTCCCATCCACTCAACTGTTGGCTTGCCTATCTTCGGTGCATTCTGGAGGAGGCGAAACCGAAGGAACCAAATACACAACAGTGGTCAAGCTGGGCATGGTCACGTTTGCAGCTTCCTGATAGTCAATGGAAGTCGTCTTCACTATGTCCTCCTTGCAGGATCCAGCATGGCAAGCGTAGAAGTTATCGATGCATTGGCACTCCTTGCAGTTGGCCTCGATCACAACCTGTCCAGGTTTCACCGGCTTGTCGCCCTCGCTTAGACACATGCAATCATGCTTTGCTACGCAGGTGTTCTCGTTCAACCATAAATGGCCTGAAGGAAAAGCTTTACTGAGGGCCCGAGCGGGTTTTGAGTCCTACCTTGCGGGCATTTGAGCTTCTTTTCTGCTGCTACGCATCCAGATTCGCATTTGGTGCCCTCAAAGCACAACCCTTTCTCCCTCACCACAAACAGATAGTAACCGCACAGCTTTTCACATTCAATAGCGCACTCGTCCTGGATCATTCCCACTGGGCATAGCGTTTCTGGAGCACAACTGGGCTTGATTTTCACCACATTGTCCTCCCAATCGCATACCATCGACTCTGGGTTGTAAAACATATCTGGACCGCAGGTCTTTTCCACCTGGAACAACCAGGGTAGAACCAGGACTTAGGGAGAACCTTAGGATTGTTACCAGTTCGAACCCTTTGGTTGTGGGTGTGCATTGGAGGAACTTGTGGCAGTCGGAAGGGTGCTCCTGATGGGGCTTTTCCAGATCGCATAAGGAGACCGTGGTGCCTGCGGGAGTAGTCGTTGAAGGCTCGCATTGGCATAAAACTCGTATCTTGAAGTCTGGACAAGGGGCGCTGCGATCTGAAGACCTAAAGGAAAATTATAATTACTCATTATGCAGAGCCCGGATAGCATTTGATATTCCATCAATATTCCAGAATGTTCAAAAAATATACAGAACATTGCGGGAATATCCTGAGAATATACATAGGTGAACATTCCTAACATGAATGTTCGTGGAATATACGTGCATGTATATTCATCAAAGTCCATAAAAAGTATATCCTAGGTATGTACATATATGTACATATTGGGTATATGTGCAGATGAACATGTCAGGTATGTACATATTGGGCATATGTGCAGGTGAATATGCCTAGTATGTTGAAACCAAATATTCCGGTAATATACATGAATGTATACGGTATATTCCAAATTGGTTGAATATAAATTTTGCGTGCCCGCAGCAGAAAAGTAAGGGCATGTAAAAGTAAATCTTCTTACTACTAAAAACTGAGACCCTTATGAAATACTGAAAATATGGTGTTTTGATTAACAAATTAACAAAATTTTTCGAAAATAAATTTTGCGTGCCCGCGGCAGAAAAGTAAGAGCACGTACAAGTACAAGAGTATATATGAACTTTTCTTTTTAAATGCGGCAACGTTATAATTTTATTTGGCAATATTAATTAAATTTCTGTATTACTCAAATAAATTTATCAGGCGCTAACAGTTCCCACCCTATGAAATTCAAACAATAAAATGCATAAAACAAATTTAAATTACCCGCTTAGTGTGTACACGGATTACGTCCGGCTATAATGTGACATTCGAGAGTGACAATGAGAGCGGACCAATGAGAATCATATTTCACGCAGTGCTGCTTGGCGGTGACGCCAAAGCTCTCAGAATTTCTGAAAAGCTGCAAAGCTTATAATTTATTGGTTATTGGCATAAACAAGTTATTATGTGCTATTACACAAATGTTGATTTTTTAAATTACCTATATGATTGTAGATTTATTAGTTACTAGAATACTGCCTTTCTAAGCAAGACAAAATTTAGATTTTGTCAATATCGGTCTATCAGACAACTGCTGCTTGTCTTTATCTATATGTCTCTGGTTACGTGCATCACGTGTTTTTCAAAAACTCGGGAATATTAAAAATCCGTATTAATCGATGCGAAAAATATAAAAACCGTGCTTGTGCCTCAGTGTTATGATGTGTCTTCAAGACGGAAATTACGGTATAATTATGGCTAAAAACCCCGCAAACATGGAAAGGTGTGTTGGTGTTTAAATTAAATACATTTGATTATTTTATTATTTCTTGTTCTAAACATACAGGTGATACCGCTGTTCTGGACTTGAAGCATTGAAGACGCTAGGGATCACGTGAGAAAACCACACACGAAAAATGTTCGCATAAGAGACAAGTAAGGTTGTCTGAACCTAATTATTCGTCTATTAATGTAAAACTATTATCTGTATTTTTTTATTTTTACCAGTTTAATCTTGGTTGCTTTCTATTTTGCGATAAGCATGTTTTTTTGGATCGAAGGAAAGCAACAGAAGTAAAATGAAAGTAATGTATCAATGCAAATTGCTATACCTAACTGTATAGACCAATATTCAAATTTGTAATTGCTTATAGAATTTTTGTTAAGAGCATATTGCAAAACACTTTAATTGGGATTAAAAATTGTTAATGATGGATCGAGAACAAAATGAAAGGGCAAAAGCCACAGAGCGGGAACATGTAAGGAATATAAAATAATAAGAGCAGTTTTTTAGATAAAGGTTTGTGTTTTATCTCACAGTCACACATCATTGCGACAACGGCAAAAATGCTGAAAATGTTAATTTAGATTTTTAGT